GTATGATTTTCCTTCCTGGAATGAAACGGGGATTAAATTAATTGTTAACATTTGGGACCTTTAACTTTAGTACTGACATACTAAAATACTCCTATGTTTCTTCCCAGTTTGCATCGCTTTTTAAAATACACTCTTACCTGTCTTGCAGAGCCATTTTTATAGATCTGGTCGTGAAGATGCCAACATAGTGTCTGTCAATTATGTGTATCTATCACCTTTGATGAAACTAACAGGATTTTATTTCACAGTAATTGTTGTGCTTTGGAATAGACTAATGCTTTCAAAGATGGAGACACGGCTTATTTCTCTCCATCATCAGCAAGGATTGTGATTTTTAACATTTATTAATAACATTGTCATTCACTCATCCTAAAACATACATTTAAAGGATCTCTCTGGTGTTAAGCTACATATGGAACAGCTCACATTAACCAGAGAGGGTCTCTGTTCTGCTCTCAAAGAAATTATAAGTGGACACATAATGCCTACAGCATGAAGAATCTGCAGATTGTAATTAATGGTTTTAATTTATTTTCTTAGGTAATAGAAGAACATTATGCTACTGGTAGTATATGTGCTTTAAATTTTTCTAATAAAGATGATTTAACTCACTTTCACTCACTTCCTTTTGGACTCTCTTATTCATTCAATAGCTGCCTTTATATATGTATTAGTCCATTTCTGTTGGTTATAATACAGTGCCTGCAGCTCAGTGATTTATAAGAAAACAAAACTTATTACTTACAGTTTTGGAGGCTGGAAAGTCCAAAGTCCAGGGAACACATCTGGTGAGGGCTCTGTCCTGGTGGTGACGACAGTGATTTGGGGTATCACATTTTGAAATGGCAGAGCACAGAGAGACTCACATGCTCTCCTTTTAAATCCCTCAGAACCACACCCGTGACCACCATTATTAATCCATTCATTAGGCATGGTCCTCAGAATCCAACCACCTTTTCAAGGCCCCACCTTTCAATTACAATAATAGGATTTCTCACCCTCTTAACAGTCACAGTGGGGATCAAGCCTCTAATATATAAAACTTGGGGGACACAATTCAATCTATAGCAATGTATAAGACACTGTGCTGGGGGGTTATGGAAGGAAAGGGGAGGGGTAACAAAAAACTTTCAGTCCTGCTCTTGGGGAGGTTATAGTCTAGAGCAGCGTTTTCAACCCAAAGCAATTGCGCCCCCTGGGAGACATTTGACAAATGTCTGGAGACATTTTTGGTTGTCACGACTAAGGGAGTCTACTGGTTAATAGCGTTAGCACTAATGGTTACACTGATTAATACATAAATTGGACTTTTCTTTCATAGCTTTTGTACGTATTTGTCCAGCAAAATAGGTAGGTACATTATTATTATTTTGTGGATAAAAACCTCTAAGGACATTCCACAATTGGGCTTTTTCTTTTTTGGCAAGGTAAAGGAGTCTTCCACTCTGGTTGTTTCGTAGGAGGGAATTGATGTGGGAACTCTGTTGAAATCAACCTGCAATACTTTTCTGAAGACCTTGGAAGAGTGCATGCAGATTGCAAATGCAGCCTTCACCTCTGAGCTGCTCTACCGCACTCCCCCAGGATCACCACAGCTGGCCATGCTCAAGTCCAACAAGGTAAAAGGCCAGCTCAGTTTAGCTACAACAAGGCATAATGGAAAGTTGAAAAGCTTATGTACTGAACTATGTTCTCCATCACCTTTTAGTGACTGATAAAGACATTTTTTTACTGGAGTTTGCTTTATGTTTACTTTTAAATCTGCCTTCAGTACCCTATATCCAGCCAGTGATTTGTGGCAATTTTACCACCGAAACATAGCTCTAATGTAGCCTCTTCTTTCTAACCTCCTTATCCAGTGAGTCTTGCCTAAACTTGTGGTAGCTTTCTAACTAGTTGCCTTCAGCTTGACCTTTCCAGTCAGTACAGTGTTTCTGTTAGTGGTCAGTTGAACCACTTTACCTAAGCCGTCAGTGGTTCCCTTATTGCTGGTAGGTTGAAGTCAAATCTTCTTAGCCCCTTCCCACATCACCAGTCTCTTTCCCTGTCATTACCTGGCTTGAACATATTAATTCCCCATCCCCCACACACCTTTATGCCATTTCCCAGTGCCAAGAATG